TGATCACAGCATGAATCAGTGCCATTGGTGCTACTTATTAGAAATCATATTTGAATTTCCCATCCTCAGGTGAGAAGCATACCATCTAAAACTAAGCCATTTATCCGAACGCACCTATGGTAGTGTTTCCCAAATTCAGGCCACGGACTGAAATCATCTTATATGGAGGAAAGGCGCGCATTGGTCCGTCACATAGAATAATTCCGATCTGGACTAAAAGTGATTATCACGCCCACGACTGGCTAACGTTTACAGTGTACATGTATATTGCCAAGAAAATGTACACAGTAAATTATAATGTAAAATTGTTCCTAAGTAGACGACTTAGTGCAGTACGAATACAATTCACGCACTTCAATAAACAAAATTGTTTTTATTTTCGAAATATATTCAGTACAATATAACATTGATAATTGTCAGCTTCAAGTTTTTAATGAAAATCAAAACGTTGACAAAACTGAAGAGGATTGATTATGGCCCCAGACATTAACCAGATGTTTGTCAAAACAAATGACCTCGATCTTCTCCTACTTCTTCCATGAAAATAATATGATATAAAGTAGTACTATATTATTATAGTGGCTGTATAAAAGTGTAATAACACTGAAAAATAATGCCTAAATACATATTAGAAAAACTTAATTTTTCTGCCAATTTTAATAGAATTCATGTCCTCATACTTTATAAAATAAGGACAATATGAAGACTCGTAAGGTTCACTGCACTGAAGTTTTATTGTTTCTAATATTGAGCAATCTGTATGTTTTGGAGGGTTATTGATACTTAATTTCATATACTATCGTTTCCCCGTCAAGATCTACACCTTGAAACTAATATCTGCAGATGAGGTAATATAAATCTTAACGTAAAAATCAAAGATGCCAGTATTTACTGTTTTATTATTAAAAGAAATGGTAATGATGTTACACATTTGATATAAGGGATCACCAGTGATGGTTCAAAAAGTTGGATACTGTAAGTGTTGGGGCTATATAAAATATACCATGTCCAGTAAAGACAGGTTTGCAGTTGAAGCAACTAAATGACCATGCATACAAAATATATGGTAAATTAATGCATTAACAATTTGAAAGCATTCCCTTTTCATTTCAGCTCGTGATGATCAGTTAACAAATGTTCCTCTTAAAATTTCCACCCAACATCCAAATGATAAAAAAAAAAAATGATAAAAGAACTGAAAAGATAATCAAAGAGTAATACTGACTGAATATCAAAACTAAAAAGAAAAATGCACCAACAGTAAAAACATTGCACATTATAAGTCAACTCACAAAAATTATACAAGACAAAAAGCTGTTTCATCATTTGATATATATATATGAAAAAAAAAAAAAAAACATGCAATTCTAAGTAATTCTCGGGGAAAAATTAAGAGAACCAACTTGAAATTAGTCACTACGTATATCCAAACTGCAATAATGGCAAATGTACCATCAGAATAGAGCCAAGTTAATTTAATAATTGAGGGATGGAGTCAAATTGTTTTAGCTGATAAATATAAGCAAGCAAGCACTTTAGACAAGTTCATATGGCTTTCTGTAGTAGTAGTTTTATCTATTACCCTGACAAATCAATTTCTCTGTGGTTTATAAAAGTTGACGGATCATTTCTGGTTAGTGAGAGCTTCCAGTAATGGATATGAATACACAAAATGATATGATAGACATCTGTTAACCATACAACAAGCAAATTGTCAAAATAAAATATTTTTCTTAATACAAATAGTCTTTCAAATTGATATCTATCAATGGATTGCGATTGACATGCCACAGTTACTTGTATAACAGTTTTCCTGTGTGTTTTGAACACTCAGAATTTAGGATTCTAGAAAAAAGAATCGGGAGAAAGTCTGCCCTGTTCCAGCGCCAGTTCACAACTACGTCTTCTATGACTACCAAGCCGCCCACTTTTCTCTGGTGACCTTTGACTATGATTCTCTTCTACGATATTGCATAAAGCGCCCTCTGGTGGTGACGGAATGTTCTTCTGTTGAGGGGAGTGACTTGCGGGGCGATCGCTCTCCACCTCTGTCAGGCATATGTTCGTGCCTCGGGTGCTCACATGAGAATCCACGCTCTCATATGAGGTCCCGCTGCTACGTGCGCTGCTCATTTTCTTAAAAAAGCTGGAGTGGTCGGTGGTAATCTCGAAGATTGTATCGCGAGGGCCAGTCTCATTTTCAACATCGAGACTGCCAATGCTGAGCTTCTCTGTACAGTCGTGGTACCGATCCCCACTGTTAGGGCGCCGAATTTTGCGACCCCGGCCCAAGTAGCGTCCCTCCTCGTCAACAAATTTGACACTTCGCCCAGATGTGGGTGAGCTTTGGGAGGATGAAAACTTGACGCTTCTTCCAGACAGAGGTGATCCGTGGCTATTTGCACTGCGGCCTGTTGTTTGATTGTTGCTATGATTACGCTGATGGTCTGAAGTTTCGTCCATAGGGGGCACTATGGTTGGGTTACCATCTCGGTCCCTGCAAGATGCAAAAAGATAAAAGTTGTGTTAAGTACACACTAAAATGCGTTAGATATCATGATTATAGCAAAGCTTTTTTTTTTTGCTTTATTTATTCTTAACCTGCATTTCAATTATATGGCAGTTATGGGGGGATTCCAGTTACACAAGTATACCGTTACTTATTCACTCTGTTCCTCTCTTTACTTTTCTCTTTTTAAACACTTTTTAAGTTCACTTTAACAAGTTGATAATATTTATTAGTCTAATTTGTGATGCCTTATGTTCATTATTTATTATATATATATCCCACTTCAGCAGCTCTGTAGTTAGATACCTGATGGTAGTAATGGACCCAGCCAGAGCTTTCGTGCTGACATCGTCGCTGTAGATGTTGGATTTGTCGCTGAGACTGAAGTTGGCCGACTCACTGCTCAGACTGGCGCGCTTCTGGTAGCTGTGATTAGACGACACATCTACATGGACCTCCAGTCTGAAACAGTCCAGTGAACAGTATTAAATATATATGCATGTGCATGGCAGTGTGCAGGTGTAAAAAAAAACAAAAATGTTTACAATGTTAAGACTTATTTGTTTGAGATAGCAACAGGAAAACATCCCCCCCCCTCCACACACACACACACACACTGTGACATTCTGTATATTATCAAGTATGTATGACCATATGGTAAATGGATTCTTGATGTTATCAATACTAACAATACCATTAAACATAATAACAGTTACTGGTCAAAGTCAAAAACATGTAGTTTACCAAGAATAAAACACACAGCAATATGGCACTTATGCCTATTCCACAACCTCCCATGCTGAAACTACAATCAATGTAGGTCTCTCCTCACCTGTTGGAAAATCCACTGGGTCCCGCCACGGCGCTCCCCGACAGACTCCCGTCCAGCAACACGGAGCCAGCCAGGGCACGGTTACTGGATGAGTCGCGGTCGCACTCCTGCTCGTCCCGGATCACCCCGGCCCTGTCAATGTGACTGCCACTGGCACTGAGACTGTTGGTCATCCCTACAGAGGCCTCTCCAATGCTGGGGCCTATACTGGGGTTGGCAAGACTAGGGTGACCTGTGTCTACACTCTGACTGTCTCCTGGGAATACAAAGATGATTTAGTGGTTAATATTCACCCTTCTGAGCCCCCACGCCCACCCCTACCCCTCATTCCCTGATTACTGCCTTATTCAAAGAAGATGAAACTGTCAACACATGAGTATGAGACGGGCAAACACCTACTACATTGCTACAGGATAAGTGAGATGAAGACGCCTCCTAGGCCTGAACCACCAGGCATATCAATGGATTAACACCCCAAAAACCTCTGCTTGGGAGGGTACTGGGGTTCTTAACTTTATGGACAACCGGTGAGGCAAACATGTTTTCGACTTGTGAAGATTCTTTTGTGTATAGCTACTTATATTTGTCTGATCTTACCATCCAATATTTCATCTGCTTGCAGTCAGACTTCGTCTTCAGACAAAAGAATCTTCACAAGTCTATTACAATGCTAATGGAACTGTTCAACACTAAAACATGTTTTCATTTTGCTTTTTGATTTTTTTTCATTAAATAAACAGACCCTCTCTTTATAGCTTTAGAAAGACAACATTAATATATCTCTACTGATATTTGACATCAACGCCCTTAAAAACAACTGCCATTTTGTTTGCAAATATTGTATCATAAAAATCCACCGTTCTACAGCTTACCAGCATAGGGTCCAGACACACCAACAGTCACCTCCTGGTCATCATCAAACTCAAAGCGGACCCCTCCGTCCCCCGTAGTAGACACCCCACAGCCACCGCTGCGACATAGGGAGATGGGGACCACCCCATACACATAGGCCAGCAGGATTGGAACGCCTATGCCTGGAATGGACAATATATATATATCCAACTGTTTATTACCCTTATAACACACTGATACTGGCCAGGTAAAAATGGTGTCAAGTTCCGGAAGGAATGCACTTTTGTCCAGTTTTCAGTTTTATTTATTTATTTATGTTTTAGACAAAAAGAAAAAAATATATAAGATTTTTACAACTTCATTTGGAGACATAATTCTGACAGCTGTGTCACTGATATTCCTACATTTGTTGATTTTGCTGATTACATGTGCATCTTACAGATAATTGAAAAGATACAGTCTTGCTACACTGTCATCTAAGTGCTTATTTCTCAAGGACTGTAATGTATTAGACTCAATGAAATAAATGAGAGAGAGAGAGAGAGAGAGAGAGAGAGAGAAGGGGAAGGGTGAACTTACCCACTGCCAGACCAGCCAATATAGGTGACAAAATGATGGAGGCAGACACCCCACCTGTCATTATCAAATTCCTCTTGTGTTTAGGAGCATGCTGGTATTTAGCATGGAGCTGAAAAAATTAAATGTTCACAGTTAAAACAACCATCAGCCTTTAACACTGTGATCTCCCTCCAGGTCAATGCTGTGAGTGCTCTGGCAATGTACTGAATTCTTTACAGGTTGCTGACCCTTTGAAACACTGGGGTCCAAGAATCTACTGTCTCAACACAGATGGGAGGCCAACAATTACTTAATTAATATATTGTGAAATGGATCACCAAAATATCACTGCTTCTCAGTTAGTAAATTTCAAACCCTTCCTGAATAATTTATTAATTTCCCCACTTTCACTGTCTGACCTTAACTGTTTCTTATATAACAAACCAACAAGCAAAAAAAAAAAACTTCTTGACAAAGGTATTTTTAATTTTTTTTATTATTATTTACCTTTCTCCCGATCCACACAGGTATTCCTATGATCATGGCGGGCACGGCTATCCCAGCCACAAGCCCTATCCCAACAGGTGCTCCCACTAATGTCCCCAGCTGCCACAGGATCTTCTTCTTACGGCTCCACGGCTTCTTGCCCCAAAATGTGCAGCCAGATGGACTGGATGGAAAAAGAGAATTTGTCAGCATTTTACTCGGACAGGATGAAAAACCAGAATTGTCAGCATTATCTCGGACTGGATGGAAAATGAGAATTGTCAAAATTTACTGGCATTGTAAATGATTTACTGTTATATACAAAATGTGTAGACTGCCAGATGGATAAAACATGTAAAATAAATGTCAAAAGAGTTGAAGATGGGTGGACGAGATGGGGGAAACATGTCAACATTCAATGGGCCTTTGGGTAATTTACTGAAGGTGCTGCTAGATGGATAAAAACAAAACATGGAAAAAAATGTCACCACTGGTGTTATGATAAAGGCAACTTATATAATGTGCAGCACCAAGGGAATAGATGGAATGGAAACCGTAAAAATTACACCTGTTCTAGAAATGATTTAATTGCTTTGGCGACAGAAAAACAAACATAATTTTTCTTGGAAATTTTCCAATTAGTCAAAGGTTTGACAGTAAGATCACATTTCCGCTTTCCCGTTATTAATGCTTAGCTCACATTTTGATGCCAGATGTTATTGATCCAGAGAGAATAAACAGTGAAATATAAGTTAGTTGGCTGGATAAATTGAGTTATCATGCAAATGTCACGATAATGTTTTTTCAATCAAACAAAAGTTTCATAGAAAGTTAACATAATCAAGAAAAAAAAAATAACCTTAAGCTGATAGCATATATAGCATTGCTTCATTACCCTGGGCTACTATTATTTCATCTCCAGTCAAAATGCCAGCACGCTAAATATTTTATCCGCATAAGTCTGTTAAACTTTCCAATTGAAGCCTGTGCTTTTTGACCATCAGAAGCCCATGGAAAATCTTGTTTCATGCTTTCTACCATGTGCGCGCGTGCGCGCACACACACACACACACTCACAAACACACACACTCTCACCTCAGGTAGTGAAGGTCAGATATCTCCTTCATACAGAGCCAGCAGAACTCTGCGCCGCACACTGCGCACGTCATGTGATTGCACGATCCGTCGTCCATCTTGATGATGAAGGCACTGCACCGGGGGCATGGCTTGATGTCATCTGGAGAGCATTTAGAATGTGTGTTATCAAATAAATATATTTTTATGTTCCATAAACTGCACATTTTATACATTCAATGTACATTACACAGAAGTAAAATTGTTTGTTTATTATTTATGTTACACTGATTGGGCCTACACAGGAAAGAACTATCATACAGTGATTGGCATGAAGTAATATTACTTCTAAAATGTTATATTATGGTGTATTTTAATAATACTTTAATAATAATTTTAATAATATTTTTAAAAATACAGCTGTCCAAAATTTTTCTTTTTAAGATTATTTTAAAAAAATCAAGAAAACTGCCTAAAAAAACGGGAAGAAAATCTTACTGTGCGAGGCGGAGTCATGGCTGTAGCTGACGGAGGATGACCTAATTAAGTGTGGCGATCTCTGTGCCCTGGCGGCGTCACATGTCTGGTTGGGATGCCAGAACTGTTTGCAGTGGTAACAGAAGGAGGTATAACACCCTGGACGCTCGCACTTCAATTTGGGGCAGCTGGCGCACCCTGTTGCTATCACAGCGTAACTGGAATTTTTTTTTGAAAAATTAATAAATGTATGTTCAGAGGGACAATGAGACAGAAAATAAGCAAATCACTGCTTGAAAAATTGGACTCAAGTCTCTGAAATTGATCGACATACTCTATTAGAGATACTTTTATTGGTAAATAAATAAATAAATAAATAAATAAATAAATAAAACAGACATAACCTCAGAAAGCAATATCTTTTTTTGCATTGAAATCAATCTCCAAAAGAAAAGGCAAAACTATAACCTTACATTTATGATCCAGTTTAATTGCTACTATACATTCTTTCATGGAGAGTGCAGTAAAGCATTACAGTGATTCCAATAAGTAATGGCTTGTTTAATTACTAGTATAAAGATTAGGTCAAAATGAATCTACTAGAGTTCAGTAGGGTCACAATAAGCGCAAATCTGGCCGTGTTGTCAGAAAAAAGAAGCTTAATGGTTTCTATTTTTGTCCATTTTTTTTCTCCCTCTGGGCATGTTCATGATGTGAAATATTCTTTCAAGATCATGAAATGGAGTTACCGTATTATATTTAATTTTTTCAAATAAGTATTTAAAAGTACTTTCTGTAAAATAATATATATATGCAAGGCTGTGTCAATAAATCAAAATAAACTCTTCACTTTTATTACCAATTTGTTTTTATTGTGATCAGACAAACCTCATATTTTCCTTCTAAGAGTTTAAGCTACCAACCACACACACACGCACACACACTGAGCACCCAGAGGAATAGCATGATATTATGACACTCAGACTGCAACAACGGAGAAAACAGAACTGATCAGGTTTCTTTTTTTCTTTCCAGAAGCTTGTCAAGGCTGACCTACAATTGTTATCCAGGATCTTCTCCATCTCTAACCACATACACATTATATTAAGACCCAGACGTGGGTGAAGAAAAACTGTGTGATGACTTTTGTGAACTTATCTTATCACTCTTGCAACTGCATGCAGAATTTCTTGTGCTTCCTCTGTCATTTATATGGCAGGACACATGAGACTGTTCATTTTATATAGCACGTGTACAAAATGGTTTTAATTAAGTATATTTTGTGAGGAACTAAAAACAACAAAAAAAAAATCTTTAAAAAGTAAAATACTTGAATAAATGAGGAGTTTGGGCAGGAACACCAAAATTTCAAGTAATTATCACATAGCCTTTTTGTCTTCACATGTGGTTTTTCTTCAGAATATAAGAAATTTACGATGGCATAGGCTGTCTGACAAGTAAGATAATGATGTAACAGTAATGGAGATGAAGAACAATGCTGCTCTGGAATGGAGGTAGGATTTCCTACATTCCAGGTAAACATGTTGATTAATTTCCAAAGAAAACATCAGATCAAACCTGAATTTAACCATCCCTTCCCCTTTCATCAAACAATTATTTTTTTTTTTCCAAACAGTCACTCACGAAAGAATCTTCTTGTTAGAACAAGCACACAGTATTTTTCACACAATCAAATCCTAAAAAAAAAAAAAAAAAAAATCCCCAGTGAAAAAAATACATTTTCTGGACAACGCAGTTCTCCGCCTCTGCTCAGGGGGTCACGTGGAGAAGTACTAGTAAATCTCACGTGCTGGAAAGTAAAGGTCTTTAAGAGGACAATTACTTTTTGTTGGCTCTAAGAATTGCCAAGGCAAGGAGGTTATGAAATGAATTGCCAAGGCAAGGAGGTTATGAAATTATGTTCAATCACATTGTTGACTAGCAGTATTCCACATGAGGAAAAAAAAATCCGGGCATATTTTGCCACAGGAATGACATATTTTACTAGTATTAGCTTGAAAAAGTAAGGAATGACGTATCACTTACTAGCACTGTATAAAGTAACAGTGTTTAAATTGCATAAAGTTTGACATCAGAGTTACTTCCCCCATTTGCGTCATTGAAAAAATGTTAAATAAATAAAGCATCATTGCTGGTAGTCTGCAGGACAAAACAGTTGGGTGTCATACCAAAGCCAACCCTTACTACTACTTCATCTTAACAACTTAAGAGAAATCACTACACTGGACACAGGATGGGGGTCAGTGAAATCTCTCCCCCCCCCTCCTATCCCCTCCCTCCTTTCACATGCAGCTGAGTCTACCAATCTACTTGATATTCCTAAGCACCCAAGTCGCAATATCACATGCGTCATCAACTTTGCACGTCCCAGAAAGTGTGGAGCCAATTTGCACAGGAAACAGCAGATGGCAACTGTGGTGTGTTAACAAATTAACCAGAAGAGGTAATTTTTACTTTTAATTTATATACATATTATGTATTTGACACTCAGACTGGCTTTCCCCTGCCTCTGCAGATGTGATGGCTGTGATGACACTGAAATGGGGACTTTGATCAGTTGCCAACATTTATCCTTACGTTTTATTTTTATTATAACTACAAAACTGTATCACAGTATGTCACCTATATTCCTTTTACTTTATTTTTAAAAAAATTAATATGGATATTTCTTCTGTACTTGCAACTTATGTAAAGATAAGAAAAGAATTATATCTCAAAAAATAAACAGAAAATAATTAAATAAATAAATAAGTAAATAACAAAAAGGTATGTGGGAGGAAGATTAAAATAAGATATATGGGCATTTTTATCATACTAGCATTTTATGTTTAAAAAAGGCAATGTATTTCAAAGGGAAGCATTTGTTTCTTCTTATGGTTTCTTTCCAAAACATTATCACCATGTCAGGCAAAATCACGTCCCCAAAGGTTTCCGCTATCAACACTTCAGACCCAGGTGGCCTCATCAGACGGAGACTTCTGTATAAGCTCTTAATTTTTACTTTGTTCCTCTCATCTCTGATTCTAAAAAGTGCGCCAAGGGCACTGTGATGACTTTTCTGTTTGCGGGTCTCCATTTCTTGGCACCAAAACAAGGACATTCTGATAACAATTGCTGTCTAATGGACTTCTATTCAGGGCTTTTTCTTAGCAGGTCTGTGTATAAAGTACTGTTACAGAGCTATCAAGTCTCTCTCTCTCTCTCTCTCAATCTCTGAGTGAGTGTGTGTGTGTGTGTGTGTGTGTGGCACTGAAATTCTGTTTTTTTGTTCTATTACAAAAAATACCTACAGTATGCACTAGTTGTCAAATGTTGTGAGGAAGGGGTGGTGGAAGACTTAGGGACTGTTCACATGGAAAGTCTATTTTCTAAAAATCTATTTTCTATTCGCGGTATCTTGCAGGGAGTAACTGGCTCGCGCTGCCAGTAATAACGCCGCGGGGTATTCAGGGCACAGACGGTGAACACAAGATACCGCGAATAGAAAATAGATTTTTAGAAAATAGACTTTCCATGTGAACGGTCCCTTAGAGCGCAATGTGCGACTTCTTAATGAAGAGGAAGGAACAAGCCACATAAGGTAACATGACACTCAATTAACAGCAAAGCTGATTAAGGTTTATTGAGCAGTTCTGACTAAAAAAAGAATGCAATATATTGAAGAATTCCCTTGACTACAGCTTACACAAGATAAAATCCTGAACTTTCCTGACTAAAGCCTTACAAAACTGTTTTCAAGGATATGAATTATCAATGCTTTGTAACACAAAAAGAAAATGTTTTCAATTATTAGCATTTTTCCAAAGTAATAAGGAAAACTCCGGCCTCACTTTCACTTCAGGTAAATGTCCAGAAATCACTGCAATAGTCTAGCAATTTTCACTGCTGTAAAAAGGCTAGTTGTCCGAATAAAAAATTATTTGGCAATTTAGTGACTTGTAAATCAGTCACATGGGGACAATGTGTTAAATTAAATTTTGCAAGGATGAGAAAATCTAAGAGCAAAGACATGCATTAATACGACCCAGAAACTAGACCCACTTGACTTAAAGAATGGCGTTTTGAATTCTGGGAAGAGAAACCTGTTTCAAGACAGACAAATTAATGAAGGTGATTTGATTCAGCCGCTGAAAAAATCACCACTCAAGTTGTACCACTAGAATGGAACAGCATGAACTGTCACTGTCATTCACCAGTCTTGACGCTGACTGTGGTCATAATTCATTTTTTAGAAAAATCAATTAGGTACTAGTAATTATTTGTCACGTGAAGGTGTTTTGTAAATAACATTGAAAAGTGCCATTTCTAAAAATTTTGATTGAAAAATGCACAAAAATCTTACAAGAATGTGTGTGTGCTGGTGCTCGTGTACTAGTAAAGATATTAGAAAAAGTAAAAGAATTTGAAAATACCAAATTATTATCAATTTGTACCACTGCCATCAGTTCCACAACTCACCTACAGTCTGGTGCTGGGCACCACCTGGCGTCAGAATCCATCACCAGCACGCGTCTCAACATGAACTGTTCATATTTGCACATCAGGGAGTCATCGTTCAGGATGGCTCGAATGTCATTGGGGTGGTAGCGCTCTGAGCACTCGGGACAGGCAATGTTCACCCTGCTCTCTGTGATCTCTATCCTCAAGTATTGTCTTAAGCAATCACGACATGACCTGTGGTGGCAAGTACTGATTCCCGGGAAGTTTTCCCTCGGCTGCTCGCCCAGACACAGAGGACACTCGTGGGTCTCTCCCAGGGTGAACGGTTCGATAACCTCCCCACCTGTCGCCCCCTGGAGGGCAACTGAATTGTCCTTACTGCTGTCTGAGGTCGTCGTGAGGCTGACCTCTGACCTTGCCTCAATGTCAAGGCTGCCACGTGACCTTGACTTACCACCGTTTACGTTAGGGTAGAAAATATGGCGCAGGGAAAATCTGCGACTTTTCCTCTTTTCAGAATTTTTTGATGATTTAGAAGTCACTGAATGTGAGTCCGACTCTCCTTTCTTTCCCATCTTGAACATGCTCACACCAGGTCGAAGTTCACGGGGGTCAAGGTTACAGAAATGACCTATAATGAACAACAAATTTCTCAAATTACTGCATTTTCTTTAACTTCAACACGTATACTAGCATAGATACAGATTTCTTCAGTTGCACTGTGTGCTTAAGCAGCCTTACAAATATTATCATGAACATGTATAAATTCAATTACTAGACAATATTAGGGTTTCAACATACTGTAAATGTAAAAATACAATTGCTTGCTCCCTCCTGTATCAGTTAAGAATGAAAACCTATACTTTACAATGCAGGCTGAATTAAAAACCACTTGTTAAGTTACCTTGAACATAAATCTTATCAAAATTCCCCGAGAAATTTGTAAAATTATCTTCCTCTTATAAGTAACTGACTATGGCCCATGATGCACCTTATCTATAGATATTGAGAACTTAGTAAATATTTAAAGAATACTCCTTAAAGATCAAATCTTAAAATATAGATTCAAAATGTCACTAAAAATACAAATAACTTTTATAATATTATAAATACCTGAATTGTGACTAGAATTCTTTTTCCTTTTATGCTTTTTTTCACAAGTCCTCTTTCAATTTATCCATTTTCCTCCCAGGCAAGAAACATGCAGGCAACAAAAAACTGACATGTATCCTTAATACTTGGAACAGATCTCTTGAGAAGGTTATCAGCGAACATACAAAAACACGCCTTCTTATCCCACTGGCTGAATGCTGACAATACTCAGAAATGAGACTGTGCCACTGATCTAGACCTATTTAATCTGAAATAAATAAAGGTGGCGATTATTTTTCACACAAATTCACAGGATAACCATATAAGGCAATAGGTGACTGTGTCGCTGCGTTGATCAACAAGAAAATTACTGAGGACTTACTGTAACGAAGTTTGAAAACATCAGAAAAAATTGGAGATTACATGATGGTTATAAAATTAGGTGGCCGAGTTTCAGGAAGTGCCAAAAATGTCACAGGCTTCGCATACACTGGCGAAAAAAAATTTTTTTTAATGATGAATAACAATAATAACACCATTTGCTTGTTACTGAGTTATTTACTAGGGTAAAATTTAAAAAAATATATTTCTGGCAGTGTCATGTTAGAAAGAAAACCAGAAGTGACGCGCAAAATATGGGGAATGCATCTTGTCACACAAATGAGACTGTAATTCTTAAGAACTTAAAAAAGAATGATAAAAATAAAAACCACACTGCACTTGCTAGACTGCAGTTATTTCCGACTCTGCTCTACTCCAAAGCCTTCTAAATTGCGCACTTAAGTCGCGAGACTTTGGGCTATCTTAGAGCACATTCAAAAAGAGTTGATCTGCGGATCTGTTAATCTCCAGATTAAATGTGGCCAGCCCACTTGAATAAAATGCAATCCCCTGATGATCTTCTCGGCTCCACATGCACCATCCCTGCAGGAGCCTAGCAACTAAACACCAAAGTCAAAATTTAATCTGTTTTATAGAGGCAGTATTAGTCGGCTTGCTTTTAAGTGACACTGAGGTCCACCATATTTAGGCTTCGTTCACATGCAATGTCTATTTTCTAAATTCTATTTTCTATTCGCGCTATCTTATGATCACGGTCTGTGCCCTGAATATCCCGCCGCGTAATTACTGGCAGCGCGAGCCAGTTACTATAAGTTACTATAAGACATAGACTGCATGTGAACGAAGCCCAAGTCTGCCGATCAGATAGTCCGCAGATCATCTGTTCTGAATGGGACTTTAGCTGTCATTAAGTCACATGGGGGAAACTGTCAGTCTGACCGATCATGATCACCTGAAGATGTACAGTGATGTCTTCATCAGCAAACAGTACCGTTGCCAAGAAATTGCTTTTCCTTTCTTTTAACATTCAAATAACCATGGTTATACAATCCACAAAACAATCAATAAATTTAAAAAAAAAAAAAAAAGATTAAGCTGGCAATCTCTTCTTTTCCTCCTAAAACACCAGGTCAATCATTAAAGCCAGTGATAAGGCCTCCAGTACTAGTACTCAAATATATAGAAATTCAGACATTTTATCAGTGTTATCATTATTTACTTCAAACTTCTAGTGATTACAGGTACGTTAAATACAACAATTTAATAAAACGATGAAAATAGCACACACAAAAAGATATTTCTGTAGATAAATGATACAATGATATAATGGGTAGTCAGAATTGTGTGTATGTGTTGGTACATTCAACCAGTAATGTTTTTATAAATATAAAGTGTCTTGTATAACATGAAACAGCCTCGAGAGATATTTACTAGGCGAAAGGTTAAACACAATCCCTTATCCAACACTTGTGTACAGTAATCTGCCTTCAATTATGTTCCACAGCACAGAAAAACCATTTGAAAGAAGAGCTGAGGAAATATTTTCTTACCCTCTAATTGAAAACAAATGTATTGCGTGTTCTGCCTAATGAATCTGTAATGATCCACTCCTTTTAAGTTCGAAGTGTGCCGATTCCTTCTATATGACTGCAACAACCAATTTTCCATAAAAAATACTTTAAAATACTTTTTCCTTACAGTTCATCATCTATATTTTCTGTGCTATACTTATACTCAATTTAATTTTTTACGCACTTTTTTTTCTCTTCAGAATGTAGGAATCATATCTATGACAACTGTACTATTAAAAAAAAATTATGTGTTATCATTTAACCTCACAGGAAATGGTCAGACAGCGGTCTCTCTGTTAGTATATAGCCAAACATCTCCGACCATGCTCTTTCATTATAATTTTAGCAACTTAAGTCATCTTACAGATCTATCACAACTGTATTATTATAAAAAATACAGTTGTGATATCTCTTCCACACATAAACAAAACACAAATAATATCTGAGAAAGTTAAGTCTAAAATTCTTAATCCAATACAAAAAAGCACATTACTAGTAAGCAAATTGGCAAATCTCTACAAAGCTGTTGTTAGTATAAACACAGTTGGATTAACAATGTAAGATAGTGAATTTATATTATCTGACCAAGCACTTGTAAGACTTAATAAGTGTAGGACTATCCTACAGATTTAGCTTCCAATACCATCATGTTGGGATTTAATCTGTTCCGATGCCCAAAATAGACCAGAAGAGGATGCTGCTGCTTTATCTATCATTATGACTAATGCACAATAGCTATATAGTAATCACTCTGTAATTTAACATATATACTAGTATGAACATTTATATATATATTATAGAATACCACAACCTCATGATGTCAACCACTGGGTTGATTTTGATGTCTGTTTGACCTTTGTACCACACACAATATACAGGAGTGGATTGGGAGATATTTTCTGTCAGTACTCCAAATTATCTTTATTGATCCATCCTCCATTTCTGATGGTCTTTTTACAGAAAAAAAATATATACTTATCAGTGTAAACTTTAAAATCTGACTGTCCTCTGTAAGACCAAGGCTCTGTTCTCACAACTTTTAGATCGATCTATCACCGCGGGGAGTCTCACTAGATTACTGTCAGATAATCCCCCTTAAGTGTCCGTCCCCGCCTACTACAAGCTTTAAGGGCTAATTAACTTTCGTGTCCGCCCGGCTGACAGCTATTTAGCGTGAACCCCCAGGGAGTTAGGTCGATCCAATGTAGGTCGATCTAATCTATGAGAATGGGGTGCAAGAAGACGGTCTCAATCTGCCCCCTAGTAGTGTACTAGTATACCTAAGCCCTTCGGCTTAAATCTTGCACACTGGTCAAAGTGGTTCAAGTCAATTTATATTTAAAGAAAAACAATAATAATGACAAATAATTATGAAATAAATTACTGTATTTATCTTTGAAGATTTAGGAGAATGTATTACCAACCTCCCACTCTCCCCCCAAAGAAAAAAATGCATTCTTTCAATTGTCATTGCTCTCGCTAGAAAAAAAGATGTACACATTCAAGAATAGTCCTTTCCTACCTAGGAACAGCCACAAGTAGCATTCAAGCAAACAAACATGCCAAAATAATAAGACGGACAAAACAATGTCAATTCAAAACTGAAGTCAAAATCACTCTTCACACACAGCACATACTAAGAAATTTAATGAAGAGTACATCACTACCCAACATTACAGATTCATAATATCATGATATTTCAATTTACTTGAATTCCATTTAAAAAAAAGTGGCTTGCGCCATGCAGGTAGACCTGACAATAACGCTAAATGTGTGTGCGCGCACACATTCATGAACCCTTGCACACACTATAATTACTTGCTGAAATTAAGACCACTGTCCACAGAGTCCATCACATGGACATCCATGAGTCATGGCCTGATGTCAACTGTCAAAATCATTCCCCCAGGGGTAGCGCTAACACTCGCCAATTTAGCCAAATGGTAAAACTGACTTAAATTGGCTAAACAAAAAGGGCTTCATTAGACTCATTTTAGTCAAATTAAAACCATTTGGATAACAAATTGACAAAAAAGTGTTGATTTGGCTAAGTGAAAAAAATTGCTAGCGCTACCCCAGCTCCCTACCAACTTGCCTATCAACTCCCTGCCATTTGCTAGGTGAAAAAAGTCATCCATCATCTCAGAAAAAAAAACACTATTCCCATACTGATTATGCTTACAGATTTTTTTGTCTTTCTTTTCAGAACAAATGCGACATCTCAAATTCTTAATTGCTGGTGGTTTTACAAGCTAACAGTCCCATCACATCAGTATGGCAGTACTCCACTAGTACGTTTGTACTCGCAAAAACATTTACTAGAGCACTTACTCAGAATCAATGAGTCTTTCGAGAATTTGTCAACAAAATCTATAAGGACAACAAAAATATATCAAAACATAACGTAACACTCGAAATACATGACTATTTTTTCGAAATGTTTTCTTGTTCAGCAGAATGTTCTAAAAGTAGGTCAACCAAATCGACACAACCCCCACCAAATATACGCCTTACCTGTTTTCCAAAATTCAAGTTTTGTCCATCCGTTTTAATGAGACTTATTCCATCGTCTAAACTTAAGGGAGTGAGGGGAAACTAAGTAAAATGTTAAAGACTGTTTCCCAAACAAATACATTCAGTTTCAATATGGCATTCGGTAAAGGATATGACGTCAAGAACGCGGAAGTTATGACGTCAAATAACAACATGGCTGCGCCCTTAGTGCACTTCCGGTAAGCAATACACAGAGTTTACATGTGATATTCCATCACTTTGTCCACAGAAATTGTCCGTTTTTGCGAACAATATTTTGCTCAAATTGCAGTTCTTTGTAGGAAGGGACCAAACAAACGACCATGTCTTTTATAAAATATATTTTGCCAAAATTAAAAAAGCTAAAAAAAAAAAGACCTCCCACGCTACCGAGAACACGTCACTATCTGCCAACTGCAGCACTGACTGACGCCAGCATTACGTTTACCAAAGTTTGTTGCACCTTCAACATAGAAAAATGTCCACGTTTGCATTTCACCTTAACTCTGCATCTATTTTGAAAGAAAATTTCAACTGATAAACTGATATTGTACTCGTACTTGCGGGGGGTTTTGGAAACCGCGTACGTATATTTAACGGTACAGTATAATTATACCAGTACTCAAATACAGGGCAGGGAAATGAATTTAGTATTTAAATCTGTTACATAAGCTGCTTCTTTGTTTTGATGAGTAGCAGGATAGACCTTGACTATGAGGTAAAACTTTGATTGCTTTTATACCCTGAACGATTAACATGTCTTATTTATATTCAAACATAAAATCTGTGTCGTGTGTTTGTGTGTGTGTGTGTGTGTGTGTGTGTGTTTTATTTTTTGAGGGGGGGGGGGCCTGCCCCACCCCACCCCTTCAGTTTCTGAAAAATATATCACCCTAATATGTCTCTCTTGAAATTAGAATTTTGACTAGCTAAATTATAGTTCTAAACCATACCACAGGGCAGTTTGCTCTCCAAAACACCAAAGGTTTTTCGAGCCCTTTAGCAAGCCCCGAACCCCACACCAATGGAGCGATGGTTGGCTTCACCTCTGAGGCCTGCCATTCTGCACCTCCCCTTCATATCAACCTGGATGCGCCCCAGTTTTATATGTACACATGTAGTAGTACGTTATACAGTATCTTGTATGCCTCGGTTTTCGGTCTTAGGGTGTATTCCCAGAGATTTAGATCGATCCAGGGATTAATATTTCGATCGACCTAACTCCCTGGGGGTTCACGCTAAATTGCAGTCAGCCGAGCGGGTGCGGTAGTTAATTACACCCTTACAGCTTTTAGTAGGAGGGCCAGACGCTTATATAAGCCGGCTAAGGTGACAGTAATCTAGTGAGACTCCCCACAGGGATAGATCGATCTAAAATCTATGGAAATGGGGTCTAACACGCTAAGGCAAGGGCTCATAATATAAAACGAGTGTTACAAACTCGTGAGGTTATTAATATCTCATGTGGCTAATTGTGACATCACAAGACATATCCAAGACTTAAGGTTTCAATCTTTTGAAAAAAAAAAAATATATATATATATATTTTTTTTTAATATATATATATATATATATATATATATATATATATATATATATATATATATATTCATATAGGATTTATTGGTGAGTTAATAGTTAGAAAATTGTAAAAGTATACATGCACATTTACTAAGAGGAGAAACTATTGGCCTCACAAAATGTAAAAAATACAGTTCCTTTTGATTTTTAAGAAACGAAACTGTGTATCATCCTGCTTACTGTCACAGGAGTTGAAAACACTGCATGCTATTTTTGTGCAAAGTGTGAAAGATTTATAGGAAAAGAATACTGCAAAAAAATAGACAATTTGAAAATGTATCGTGCACCCTTTTCAATTGGCAGATGAGTTTGTTGCACCTAACATAATTATATATTTTGTGTGCATTTTCAGTTTATTTCTGCATTTTCTATTTGTGCCAATATTGTTATTATTCGTTTATTTGTGTTGATGTTTAAAATTGTTTTTTTTTTTTTTAATCTTAACAGGTGCGCCAAGAAAAGTCAACACATTCAGTCTCTCTCACCTAACACAATGTGACCTGACTTCACACTCCAGTCTGAGGCCCAGTGGTCATGAAGTTTCCCACTAGGCGGCGCCTGTTTACAAGCAGAAGAATCCTAAAGCTCCTCATCCTGATAGTTTGTGTTTCCATGATTTATTTATCCTTCCAACTGCTGTCCATACGCGTCTTGAGCAACCATGCCAAGAAGGAAGACGAGTTTCGTAAAATAGCAGACGAAATCAACAGCGTCGATGTTGACTGGAAGATGCCAGAAAAGAAAAAATATCAGAAGGATGAAAACTGGCCTGGTGATCCTGTCAGAGGAGGAATAGATGGAGTACCACATAAAAGTAGTGGTGTAATAATCATAAAGCAAACCCAGAGGCAGACCAAGAGACAAATGGATAAAACCAAAATTCAGGAACTTTCGGAGAAAGGTGTTGCTGATCAACTGCAAAATAACTTGGCACATAAAACCAAGGACTTGATACAAACACCACAGGGTTTAGGCAGAGGGGAGATGAACACCAAAAATTATCAGCAATCTCTCGAGCATAAGTCAGTATTTATCAGAGGAGTGCTGCCCAAAGACCAACATTTGTATACTGCTCTGCCAGGGAATGTGTTTCAGTGCATTCACAGTAAGGTACATGTGCATGCATGATGATCATATATTATTTCTATGAAAGGTTTTCAATGTATTTATTCACTTATCACTTTTTTTTTTTTTTTATTATTATTTTTTTTTTTTGCATGGTGTTGATCTGTTACCAGATTGAGTTGTATTTGTTTTGTTCTCAGAATCCCAGTACTAGTACACATTTTATACATATATATATATATATTTTTTTTTTTTCAGGAGAAGATTTCCTATGACTTTTTCAATGATGACTACTGTGACTGTTCAGATGGCAGTGATGAACCCTCCACCTCTGCATGTAGCAATAGCAAGTACGTAGGTTTCTTAGGGAAGGGGATTTTTTCTCTGTATTTCTTTAAAAGAAAAAAATGGAGAGAGGGGCAGTTCACATTTCACAAAAAATAAAGTCTATTTTCGTGAGAGAGTGTCTTGATATTATCCTGAGCTTCTGAGTTAAAATGCTGCTTGTAACTTAGCCTGAAATATACATGTACACCTATTATAGAAGAGGAATATATGACAAGTTTGTGTGTATATAAAACGGTCACTGACTTTGGCTGAGGTCCTTATGTTGTTTTGCAGACACCAGAGAAGTAATATTGAGCTAGGCACAGCTGAGTTAATTTTCTACTTTGGTTGAACATTGCAAACAGGATATTGACTGAGAGTAGAAATCAATATAATTGTCTTAATTATTATCTTGCTCAGTACTTGAATATAAGTGCCAAAGTTGCAAAGTTGCTGACATCTGATAGGTAAAAAAACTGGCAATGCCATCGACATCACATTTTATCAAACTTCACATTCATTAAATAAAAGATCATAATTTATGCTATTTATAATATATAATGACATATGTGTCTTTTCCATTGTATTTCAGATTTTACTGTACATTCCAGTTGGCTGACATGGAGCCAGTGTCAGTGACAGCTAGCAAGGTCAATGACGGGATATGTGACTGTTGTGACGGCAGTGATGAATGGGCCGGGAAAACTCTCGATAAAGATTTAAAGAAAGGTAACCCATAGCACTTTTCCTGAAGCCTTTGAAATCCTTAACACCAAATTTGAAAGACTTTTAATATATAATTTATCTACAGATTTTTTTTGTAACTCTCACAGAAAGGAATTGGGTAGTGCAATACTCTAATAAATAAGCAGTAACTAAAAAACAAAAATAGAATAAAAAAATAATAAAAATGATTACAAAAGGAAAAGATGGGTAATTACTAGACATATTATTTGCATCAGATTTTATCCACTCCACATATTAACCTAAAACACGCTATAATGTTATTATCAGGGGCGGATCCAGAGTTATTTTCTGACAGTCTTCCAAATTATCTTTGTTGATCCATCCTCCTTTTTCTGACCGTCTTCCGACAGAAATAATTAGATACCCGTCAATGTAAACTTAAAAATCTGACCGTCTTCCGGAAGACCCAGAAGACCCCCTAAATCCGCCCCTGATTATGTATAGTTGGATGATATGTCATTTGATTGACTCTTTTCATCTATAATATTTATTAAATTTTAATATTAGATAATTTACTAATTGTCATTTATACTGAATGTAGCAGTAACAATAACAACAAATAAAATAATTTAAAAGGAGCACCAAATTCACATCTTACTAAGTTAATTCTACAACAATGTTTAATTTTACTTTCAGATGCTCAGAAACATTACAGCATTTATCAAGCACCCTGCGTTGACCACTGTGACGATCTCCGCAAACTGAAGCAGAAACAGGACGCCATAAAACTCATGGGTGCCCGACTCAAAGCGACTTATCTTCAGTCAGCAAATGAACACGGAAAAGCTGCTGATCCTGTGAGTTTTCAAAGTTTAGACCGCGTTCGCAACTTCTCACCTCCACCCCTTTGATACACTCCATCGTATAGGCTTCAGGCATTGTACAGTTAAGTTGTTAATTTACTCAGTCTCAAAAGCCTTAAAATATAATAAAACCAAATACTTTCTCCATCCAGCACATTTTTTTAAACTAAATTTCTGAAAATATTCTTCTCTCTAGGTTTTTGGCCCACAAGGTGTCTTCTTCAAGCTGAGCCTGGAGTGTTTCCACTACTCTGCCCCTCACTTTGATTACACCATCTGCCCCTTCAAAAGTGCCAAACAGCGAGAGCGTGAGTCCACGCACTCCGATGTTACCATTGCGCGTGGCATGGTCCACTGGTTGTCCAGTCAACAGGGTCAGTACAGGATTGAGATGAAAGATGGAGATGGCTTTGCCTGTCCTGGTGGTATGCGGCGGTCCTTAGTGGTGAGCTTTTTTTTTTTTTTTTTTTTTTTTTTTTTTTTTTCTGTGGGATTGTGAGCAGCATATTTCATCATTTTTAAATTAATCATATGTTTGTGTGTGTTTATGTACATGTGTTTATGCCAATATTCATGATTTTGTCATTTTAAGTGAGTGGATTTCATATTTTTTTAAAAATAAATTGTAGGTGTGAGCACTGTGTGTGCATGTTAACTTGCCTGTTTGCCTGACATTGTCATTAAAAGTAGGAAAACAGAAGGTTTACTTTTTTTTCCCGTTGTTGACAATCAAGTTTTATTTTAAAATACAGTTTTAAATCTGTGTATTATTTTCTTATGTTCTTCAGATTGACTTTAGCTGTGGCTTGGACAACATAATTCAGAGTGTCTCTGAGTCCGAACTGTGCAAATATGCTGCAAAATTTACAACTCCTGCTGCTTGCTGACCTCACCACACAACATGCTGATGTCATCACAGAACATGCTGACCTCACAACACAACATGCTGATGTCACCACACAACATGCTGATGTCATCACATAACATGCTGACCTCACCACACAACATGCTGATGTCATCAGGCGAATCAGAAAAATTGATGATGTTAGACTTATTCAGTAGAATGGTGACATCACAAGCAGTATGATGTCAGTGTAAAAGATTCAGCATTAATGCCAGTATCAAAAAAAAGCAAAGACTGTGTCACTGCAATGGATGCTGATATTACGTATACTAGTAGGTAATTCATAAAATTTCTGACATCAAAGGTAACACTTCTGATGGCACTGCTGACATCATAACAAGGCTTTATGTTCTGAAATCAAATGATGTAGTGGTATATCGTTAGTTGTGACATGCAGGTGGTCATCTTGAAGTATTCACAGAGAAGAAAGTTGAAAGTTCAAGCTGACACCCAAAGCAATAATTGTGATGACACAAAATTAAAAGTTGATATTGTTAGAGAAATTGATAAATAGATGTCACTGCTTTTTACTGCAGTCTGGCAGATGTTTTGATCATGTAGAAGAAGAAGACTTTTTTCATCTTATCAGAACTCAAAATGTGAACCTTTATCATTTTGGTGGTCCATCATTTTTAAAGTACGTGGTAAATCAAAGATGTGGCATCAAATGCAAGGCAAAATTCCAGAGTTTATATTGTGGACAAATTTATTTGTCCTTGTTTATATTTGATTCATTTAATGAAGAGAAAAACATCTAATTGCAATATCTATAATTATTTCATGGATACAATTAAGTTTCTATTTATTTATTTATTTATTTATTTATTTATTTATTTATTTATTTATTTATTTATTTATTTTTCTTTTTTTTTTTGTACAGTTAAAGAGGGTGACTGCAATGGAAATAGGAAATGTCAATGTATCTTCCGACAACTAATATGAAAAGGAAGAAAGAAATTTATAGTAAATATGACAAAGTTTAGACTTGTAGGACCTTATTTGTTGCAGGTCATTTTTATAAATTAGGCAGGAGAGAACTTGGCTGCCTGGGAGTAAATATTGTTAATACTATTATTATTATTATTATTATTATTATTATCAATAATAAAAATAGTAATAAATCTGTTATTAGACTAATTATAGAATATTGCTGTTTTTTATGTGTTATTTTTATTTGAAATAAATATTTTATAGCTCCATTCAGATGCTGTTTTTAAGGTTGATAGTGCTACACATATGTAAATTGTTTCAAAACTATCGATGCTGAGGCTTTTATTCTTGAACAAGATAAAGAAACGGCACGCGTAGACTTCTTTTCTTACGTAATGTGGTCAAGTTAAATCTTGTTTTTAGAAATGTCATCTAAATAAAACGACACACCTGTGTATCGAAATCGAGGCTGTGCGCGGAAAAGGGTCCAATAAACAATAAAGAAGTTGGCAAAGTTTATTCTAAATTTAACACTCTTACACAAGCGTGCGAACTGAAAGCGACCTCATACTGACAACGCCTATTTGCCATTGTCTGCAACAGTGAAATAATTCTGCCTTACCCCGCTCTCGTGTTAGTCTAGGGGTACAAGTCGGTTGACAGGTACTAACGAGAGCTATGGCGTTCCGTGTTCTCCTCACCTTGATGGCGTTGGCGTTGCCGTACGTTGTTGACGGTCACTTGTGCTTGATCAGTCCTCCGCAACGAGGGTCTATGTCTGGCCTTAACAAACCAGGTAAACGTTATAGTTTTCTCAGATTGAGGGGAATGGTTTGATCTCTCTGATGAGTGAACTTCTACCCAGTATTTTGATGAGTGCTACTGTACTTAACATGTAGAGCAAATAGTGCAGATACCTAGCTAACATACAGTGCCGTAAACACACAATTAATGCAACAGGCTACAAAAATAATTGATACTAACGCGTGTCGGCCGTGGGCAGGTCACCGGTGTGTGTGTGTGCGTGTGTCTGTTGGGGGAGGGTGTTGGCAGGATCGAAAGCTCGGCTCCTTTGGCCTGAAAAGGTGGAGAGAAGGTCTGTGTGTCCTGAGACCACTTTAATTACTTGCTTCAGTGTACAGGCACGTGCCAGAGACATTGTCTTTTGTCTCTTACAGGTTTCAAGTACAGGGACAAACGTGCGTACAGTGTATGTGTTGGGCTTAACGCACTGTACAATCTCGGAGACATCTCTCCACAACTGACCGCGTCTCTCCCTCTCCCTGGCTACTTATTATGTCAAAGTAAAACGCTATTCATTCAGTGCTCTTCGTCCCGTGTGGGACATAAGGCCACAAAATATATTTCCGCATTTTTTTAAAGTACCATTATTACAGTTAGGGTGAAACTTGCACTTGTCCTTTGGGTTTTCTTTGAGACAGGTGCCATTCAGGGTTTTCTTTGAGACAGGTGCGCGCAGACATGTACTGGTAGGGTAAATAAATGACCGCCATTCGGTGTGCTTTGAAAAATATGAAGGTCCTTTCGACATGGATATTATTGATCAAGCTATAACAAACAGCTGCATATTCTGACTCATGTATTTGAAGAAATATATTGAAATACCGGTACGGGGATTATAACCATGTCGATAAATGCTGATACCATATGATATAGTGTGAATTATGAACAGTCGGTACATTTGTTTACATGCACCTCCGCTTCTTTTTTTCTTCATTCTTACTTAACAGAAAATTCTCAGTGCTATTTTAATATTAAAATACTGGCAGTATGGCTGTGAGATTTCAAGAGTGAATGTAGTAGTAGTAGACAATCCTCCAAGGTCGCCACGTCTGCACAAAAAAATCTCAGGTCGGCTTACATAACGTGTACACGCTGATCTTTTGTAGTCTCAGTACAGTGCACTAAGGCCGTTCTATAAGCTGGCCTGGTTTTTTTATGTCGAGATGTGGTTGGTTGATATGAACATAGAGTTACATAACTCTTTGGCATGAATTATGTAGATCCAGAAAACCATTTTGCACTGTCTTCACTGCACTTTTTTTCTATGCGATCTGCGAACATAACTGAATATGGTTTGGTGGATTACATAAAACGCCCCGAGTTAAAATTTTGATTTTCTCATAAAACTGGGCTACGTATGGGAATAATTAACCGTTATTTCTCTCATTACTGCTTGCTACATGCCATTGTTTCTGGAGAACGAAAGTGAAAGTCTGTAATATCTTCAGATAATATCTTCGGTAACTTTATATGGATAACCGATAGTCTCTTTAGGATCTGAGGTCTAAATTGTGTAAAATGCTTATTTCCTTCAACGAAATTTTTTGTGAATGTGGCACAAACAGGTTATGTTGGTGGACTGATTACGTAACATTTTAATTTCTGCATTATTTCTTTTACATATTTTTTTTTATTTTCTTGCTTCAGTAAACTTTTTAACTAGAGATTTTTTCTTATTTTGTTCACGTTATATTATGAAGTCTACTAAAGAAATTTGGATTTTAGACTCAAAATGAATAATCATTATTAATATTGTTATAAAATACATTGTAACTTTACATTAAATTTTAAGTCTCTCTCTCTCTCTCTCTCTCTCTCTCTCTCTCTCTCTCTCTCTCTCTCTCTCTCTCTCTCTCATGATGATATATAATATATACCATTTACATGTATATGATACTTTATATAACAGTATAATATGATAAAGGACTTTGATAATCAAAATTAAGTAATCTTTTCTTTTTCTTCTTATTAAGGAGCCACGGATTGTGGCCTCACCCAAGGGCCGTGTGGAGGCCGGTCTGCCAAGACACCTACCATAGCGCTTAAGTAAGACTGGGTTCCCACAGATTTAGATCGATCCATCTGGATCGACCTAACTCCCTGGGGGTTCACGCTAAATTGCTGTCAGCTTCCGGGAGCCGAGTGACACACACAAGTTAATTACCCCCTTGCAACTTTTAGTAGGTGGGACAAACTTTTTAAGTCGGTTAAGCTGCCAGCAATCTAGTGAGACTCCCCAGGGGGATAGATCAATCTAAATATCTTTGGAAATGGTCTCTAAGAATAGGGCGAAGTAATAATGTCCTTGCACATTGAACTCGGGCTTGTTTTCCATTAGATCACGTGAAGTAGTTGGGATATACACTCCCATGATTAGATGAAGACCTAGATGAGAAAATCAAAACCTTCAACTCTAATAAAATAATTATGTTAAAGCAATTGATAAGAAATACATCTGTAAGTTATTTATTATTATTATTATTTTAGGTCCGACACGATATATCCTCTAGTCTTCCAGAAGAACCTTG